GTGGTTCTTTTTTTTTTTTTTTCTGTCTGTGTAACACACAGCAAAATGCATCTGTACAGGAGCACACTCAAGCCAGGAGTCTGTGTAATTTAGAAGCTGGAAGGGAACCTGGCGGTCACCATATCCCCTGCTTTACATGCCAGGCAGCAACCCCAAGGAGCAGGCAGGAACAGAAGAGTGTGAGGGTTGGCGCAGGGGTCTCCCTCCTCTGGTCCTGTGCCTTTCCACATGCGGCACTGCAGATCTCGTATCGCTGAGGTGCTGGCAGCTGTCAATTCTGAACCCTCATTACCTCTGCTTTACAGAGAGGAAACTGGGGTTGGGTGGCCTGTCCTCTGCATCCCAAAGCCTCTATATAGAATTGATAAATTTGCATTTTTCCTGCTTTCTGTTCAGTAGACCATGGCATTTCTCTTGATATTTCAATTGATCAAAATGTAAGTTAGGATTGATTGGCACATTATCTGAAAGAATTTGAAGGTTGGCTTTCCATGATGCGTGGAACTGATCTCTTTTGAAAGTTCCACACCATACATGATTATCCACATTCTTTAGGGTGAGCCTCCAAAGTCTGAAGATTTGCTAAGCCAAATGGCAGTGAATTGAAAATGTCATCAGCTGCGGCTGACTGTTAGTTTCAGCTGAGGTCATGATCTCGCGGTTCATGGGTTTGAGCCCCACATCAGGCTCTGCGCTCACAGCACGGAGCCTGCTTCAGATCCTCTGTGTCCCTGTCTCTGCCCCTCTCCCTCCCTCTCTCAAAAATGAATAAATGTTAAAAAAAAAAAATTTTTTTTTAATTCAGCTAAAGCATGTCAAGCGCAGTAAGTGGCTAAAAAACATGTAAGGAATTTGTGCATTCTTTAAAACCATTCCTGATATCTTAAACCCTGGTGAAGGGACCATCTCCACAGAGACCCCTGGGGAGACATAAGCAGAAGGGGCAGTGACAGATGTACCTGACTCAGTCAGAAAAAGGATTGAAATGACCCTTCATTTATTATATTCCAGAAAATACTTATGGAGCATGTACCTACTATGTGCCAGACACAGTTCTAGAAGCTTGGTGTGCATCAGTGACCAAAACAAAGATCCCCGTAGGGGGAGACAGTAAAGGGTCAATGTAGTAAGCAAACGGTGCTTCTCAGCTTTAGAAGAAGTACTGTGTCAAGCACAGAATGGGGGACGAGGAGTAGCAGAGTGGGGACGAGTATCAGGTTGCAACCGGGTGGTCAGGTTGGCCCCCTGGAAAAGGTGAGGATTAGCCATGTGCACATGTGCAGGGAGAGCCTTCAGGCAGGGGGGACAGCAATGTGAGCAGGATGGCTGGGGTGCGGATACAGAAAGAAAAGCGTGTGAGGAGGTAAGAGAAAGTAAGGCGAAGAAAGCAGGTCATATTGGCCCGTGAGCCATCAGAAGGACGTAGGCTCTTACTCCTGCGATGGCCGCTGTGGGACAGGAGCAGGGAGACACACAAGGAGGCTCCTGCACTTACCGGGTTCAGACCAGGACAGAAGTGTAGACATGGTATGGTGAGAAGGTGCGCACATGGGGGCATGTAGAGACGTCAAAGACAAGTCCAAGGGTTTGGGATTAAGCAGAAGAATGGGGATGCTAAACATGTTTTGCCTAGAGCAGCACATGGCACATAGTAGACTGGCTCTTGATAAGTATTTGTGGAATGAATGTACTAGACACAATGCTAAGTTCTTGGAGTAGATTATTTCTTTTTTTATTAAAAAAAATTGTATTTAATGCTTGTTTATTTTTGAGAGACACAGAGCATGAGCAGGGGAGGGGCAGAGAGAGAGGGAGACACAGAATCCGAAGCAAGCTCCAGGCTCTGAGCTGTCAGCACAGAGCCTGACGCGGGGCTTGAACCCATGAACCTCGAGATCATGACCTGAGCCGCTGTTGGATGCTTAACCAACTGAGCCACCCAGGCGCCCCAGAGTAGATTATTTCTAGTGCTCACAAGAATCCTAGGTGGTGTTGGTAGCCTCATCTTTCATTGGCATATATGGAAGTGAGCTCAGAGAGGTCAAGTGTCTTACCCAAACTTACACAGCTGGTTAAGTGGTAAAGCTGGGCTTCAAAATCCAAGTCTGTCTGACTACATTCCGTGATTTTTCTAGTACTTTCAGCTTTTTCATCTCTATTTCCTCTTCTCCCCTTACATATAAACGTGCAGAAGTCTTCCCTATTCTTAATTTAAAAAATTTTTTGACTGTGTCTCTGCACCGCCCCCACCACCCCACCAAACTAAAATAATCACCCCTCTTAAGCACATTTCAAGGGCACAGAGGATCAAGAGGTCACAGCAAAAGGATCACAGTGCCCAAGTCATCCAATGGGAAGGTCTCTGGAGAGGGGGAGGAAGGCCCCCACTCCATCTTGGAGTGTGTGCAGTTCGCAGACCCAGCCAGCGGTGTCATGGGCATCTGATGGGAACCCAGTACCAAGCACAGGCATAAGCGCTAACAGTGCAGTATCCACAGTTACCAACGTGTGCTGGGGGTAATGTCGTCAGTGTGATCTTTCACATTTTTATGGTTTCCAGATTTATTATTTAAAGCCCAGGTAACTTTGAGGAGCAGTAGACTTGCTTCCAGCTGTGTAATAAACAGCCTGTTCCCCTCTACTTAACTAACCTGTCTGGAGATCTCTGGCAGTCTTTAGCTCCTCGCTGGCCCTCCCGGATCCCTGTTCGTCCTAGCCACAAGTCACAGCCAGTCTTCTCCCTCCCTCCCATCCCGCCATCATCTAGCATCTGGCTGTTTCATGTGCCTACATCACAATAACCTGAGTGCGTGCTTAGCTTATGCCCCACATCTACTGCATCAGAATCAATTATGAATTCTCTGTAAAGTTTAAGAACCACCACTCTGCTAGGAGTAAGGTACTCCATTGCTTTTCTTCATCAGATTTAAGTCATCTTGACCTAGCTTGGAGTTCAGGATCCCCCATTAAAAAAATTCACCATGCCCCCCAAATATGAGTGGCTCTCATTTAAGCAAAGTGACCGGTTAGGGGATCCTGAGGATAAGCCCAGTGAAAACACTTCCATTGTACTATTCTGAGAGTACTTGTATTAGTTTAAGCGTTGGGAAGTATGCATTATTGGTGGGAGTTTAAATCAGCATAGTAACCTCTATACATGGTAGTTTGGGCAAAATCTATTAACAGTAAAAGAGAAAACTCAAAATTAACACCACATTCCACTTCTAAAAACAGATCCTACAAATAGCCTGTCACTTGTGCAAAATGACACGTGTACCAGGTTAGTTACTCCAGCATTATTGCTCCTAACAGAAGACTTGAAATAACATGTTAAAATGTGAAGCATCCATAACTCAAATACTATATAGTCATTAAAAAAAATAATGAGGCCACCCTTTCTAATCTGCCACAGAAAAAAAACTCGGTTGAGGGACAGCGTCTAGTATGCTGCCATTTGTGTTTTTTAAAATGTGTATGTGTCAGTCATAGTTATTGTGAAAAAACTTTTAAATGTGTATGTATACATGTATATATGTGTGCTCACATGTAAGTCTCTGGAAGAAACACAAGAAACTTTGTTGTGGTCCCCTCTGAAGATAGGAGCTGGGTGACTGGGGACAGGGTGGGGAAGAAGACTGACTTTTTACCTTGTTCCCCTGTGTTCATTTTGAATTCTGTACATGTACATTTATTACTATTAAACATACATATATTTTATAAGTATTTAATATACACATATTCAATAGTAATAAATGTGCAGCTATAAATTCCAAATGAAAGGGCATCATTTTGTTTTAATATTACAGTATACATATATATGTGTGCATACATGTGTGCCCGTGTGTGTGTGTGTACATACACATATAGAGATAGAGACAGATATATAGCCCTTTCCTACAAATGCAGGAAGTTTTTTTTTTTTTTCAAATGCAGGAAGTTTTAAAGCAAAAAGAGTTAAAAATTTTTTCCCCATTTTTATGAGATGTAATTGACATGCAGCTTAAGGCATACAGCATGATGATTTGACCTACATATACGGTAAAATGGTTACCACGGTAAGTTTAGTTAATATCCATCTGCTCATACAGATACAAACAAAAAATAAGAAAAAAACTTTTCCTGGTGATGCGAACGCTTAGGATTTACTCTTGTAACAAATGTCCTGTATATCACACAGCAGTGTTCGCTGTAATCATCGTGTTGTACATTCCATCCCTAGTACTTTTTTATTATAACTAAAGTTTGTTACATTTTGATCCCCTCCCTCTCATTCCCTCTCTGCCCCACCCCATCCCCCCTTCAGGTTACTACAATTCTGATCTCTTGGTCTTTGAGTTTGCTTTTTGGGGCTTTTTTTTTTTTTTTTCTTAAGATTCCACGTATAAATCATACAGTATTTGTCTTTCTCTGACTTCTTTCACTTAGCATAATGCCCTGAAGGTCCATCCACGTTGTCACAAATGCAGGATTTCCTCCTTTTTTTTATGGCTGAATAATATCCCATGGTATATATATGTACCACAACTTCTTTATCCATTCATCTATCGATGGATACTTAGGCTGTTTCCACATCTTGGCTGTTGTTAATAATGCTGCTCATGAACATGGGGCTGCAGATATCTCTTCCACATGGTGTTTTCATTTCCTTCAGATATATTCCCAGAAGTAGAATTGCTGGATCTCATGGTAATTCTGTTTAATTTTTTTGAGGAACCTCCATACTGTTCTCCATAGTGGCTACACCAGTTTACATTCCCACCAGCAGTGCACAGGGGGTCCCTTTTGACCACATCTTCACCAGCATCTATTACGTCTTGTCTTTTTGATGATGGCCACTCTGACAGGCACATGGTGAGATTTCATTGTGGTTTTGTTTTGCATTTCCCTGATGATTAGTGATGTTGAGCACCTTTTCATGTACCTGTTGTACCTGAGTTGTACGAGTTCTTTATATATTTTGGATGTTGGCCCCTAAAAGCAAAAAAAGAAAACAAAAAAAACTTGAGACAAGCAGACACCCCTTTGTGTAGCCCCAGAACCAGCTACTGGTGGACACATGAGCAAGAGACAGTTTGAAGCTAGTAAGTTTTTCATCAGAATTATAAGCCTGCTATAAAATTTTCTAAGCCATACATTGTGTGGTTTCCTCTTGCAGATCTTAAATCAACTGGAAGTAGTGAAAGAATTTCTGAGAAACAATGAGGATCTTAGAAATGGTCTTACCGAAGATATACAGAAGCTAGACAGCCTCCATCTACAGCATCAAAAACCAAGTTCAAAGGAACCTGGGGCACAGACACCTGAAGGGAAGGCCTGAGGTGAGTTTAGACCTATGAGGTTAAGTAAGGATAGAATAACCTCATCTCTCTGATGCCTGTTCTCTTATGTAAGGCCATAATGAACTCACAATTTAGTCTAACCCGAAGTTTTTCTGTGTCCTTATTATTTGAAAGAAAGGACACTGAGCCCTGCGCTCTTTCTAATTGATGGTTCTCACATCTGTGAACTAATTCAACATAATCTGCCTGTCAGCTGTGTTTAGTCAAATATACCTGAGGTCATTGGTCTAGTCTTAAGTAAATCAACTTTCTAACATAATCCAAAAGCACATCAGCCCTAAAATGACACCAGGGATCCCTAGCTCTTCCCTGTGGCATTACTAGCAACTTGTTAATTTCCATAAGAAGAACTTGTTAAAATAACTGTCTTTGGTGTTTTACATTTTTCCTTTCAAATAAAGAAAATTAAACATTTTCTCTTGTTTTAGGCTGCCCTTTGACAAAACCCAGGCATGTTATGTGAAGGTCGGCATGGCTTCAATCTCAGCCCTTCTTTTCTGTGCAAAAGGAAAAACTTAACAGAGTGCACCACCCAAACAAAAAGGAATTTTTGTTGTCTTTTCTCGGACTTTCCTTTGACTCTTTGGGAATATTTTTTTTAATATTCGTAAGCTTGGTGTTGTGTTATCTGTAACCCACCAAAAAATGTTAGATACTGTTGTGCCAAAACTTGCTGTCACCCAGGGTTTTTTGTTTTTTTTTTTCTTTTGTTTGTTTTGGTTTATTGGTTTTGCGGGAAGGTTTTTGCTATTCTTTTCTGATACTAAACTTAAGCTGCTTAACACAGTAAAGGCTATTTGGCCAGCCCTGGCGAAGGGTCACAAAGAGTTCCCTGCCAGGTGGCACACAAGCCCTATCCCTACCCCCTTCCTAAAAAAAGTCTCGCTTACGAGGGGTGCCCAAGGGGCAGGCTGTGATGTAAATCCTTCCTTTTTGAAAGAAGGCAAGAAAAGAGATTGCCCATTTTCTCGCCATTTCCAATTTAGTACAGAACTGTTGCTACCTATTTTTGGTAGCCCCGGGCACTAGGGCAAGGAGGTGGGCCCAGGCTGGTCAGTGGGGACCAGAGAACACAGTGACTTGATTGACCAAAGCAGGCAGAAGAAGGCCCATGCCAGTCTCACAAACGGGAATGTCGGGGATAGCTTCACAGTTACTGACCTGTTTATGGTACTCCTGGGAAAAGTCAACTCCCGTGGCAATCCCCTCTTTCCGCTCATTAATATCCTGAGTGCACAGGGCCTAGGCCTCATGTGCTCCATGAATATTTGTTGACCGAAGGATCCACAGATGCTTATTCATACACATGAATGTTAGACCATTAACTAAACCAACCTGGTCCTTTGTTATGAGATTTAAGAGTGAAATACCAACATTCTTTTAGAAATTCAAAGGCATCATTTTTCTTTCAGCAGATTGACAGATTCATTGGTACTTCCTCTATCCCCAAAAGTCATCTACTTCTGACTTTATCCTGTCTGTTTCCGAAACTGCAAAACCACTGTCCGGTCATATGCAGTGGTCCGGGGATCAGCCTCACCCTTCCCTACCTCTGCTCCTGTTCAAAGCCAGCAGTGCCTAACTGGGCCATGTCACCTCTGGACCTTCCGGAACAGAATTGCCTCATTCCCCGCTTCCTGGAGGAGATGCTTCCACTCCAACCCCAAATGAAGCCATCCTCCTTTGCTTACTGAGCTGCCCATCAAGGATGTGACCCTGTAGGGGCACCTGGGTGGCTCAGTCAGTTAAGTGTCCGACTCTTGATTTTGACTCAGGTCATGATCTTGTGGTTCGTGGGTTGGAGCCCCACACTGGGCCCCACGCTGACAACTGATAGTGTGGAGCCTGCTTACAATTCTCTCTCCCCCCTTCCTTGCTAGTGCACGCTGTCTCAAAATAAATAAATAAACATTAAAAAAAAAAAAAAGGATGTGGTCTCTAGAGAATGGGGAGAGGGTGAAGTGTATTTGGTATATTTTTATATTAAAATGAGTGTAATATAATGCTGTAAACCCTGGATAAATACAAACGTGCCTGTAACTTAACTATTTGGTCTTGAATCATACATTTTCTTTCTCCCTTCACTTCATGCAGCTCCTTTAGAAGACATCAACAGTAAAGTAAGAATTTTCATTCATCTCACAACTATCCCCAAACCAAGAAGTTTGCTGAAACATTTCCTAGCTTCTAGATACAAGGTACAAGAGTTGGGATCAAATTAAATTTTGAGTCCCTAACCAATTTAAGACCTGATTTCTAACTTTAGGAACTTAGGGTTATGAACACTTTCATTTCATGCCCCTTGTATCTAGTTAGCTTTTCCTTCTCTCTCCAACATTTATCACGTGTTAGCCACAGGTCAGGCCCTGGAATAGATGCAAATGTGAGGATTCATAGGGTGTGGACAATGGTATACATGCTGTCCTCTCTGGATTTATTGTCTGCTCTGATAAATTCAAGATACTGTTCAGAAAAACATTATGCTGGCAACGTTTAATTACACTGAAATTGAAGAAAGGAAGACATGCCCAGAGAGAGCTTTAAAGCAAATGTAGCGTGTACAGGGACATCAACCTGTGGGCCTCTCTACGGATCTGTGCGCGCGGCACAGGATGTGCACAAAAGGGCGCTCACAGCGGCGTTGGCAGCCAGCCATCGAGATGACGGGTTAAATCCCAGCACATCCATGCTACAGAGCATTATGCAGTTGCTAAGAAGTATAAACTAATGCTGCAATGCAGTAACGTGGAATGCTCTCGAACACCTACTAAATAGAAAAGCAGAATGTTTAACAATGCGTGGCATGCTGTTAAACTATTTGTATCTTTCAACAAAAGGTGTTGAAAGTTGTGTGCTTTTCCCAAGCTCTTTTGCAGTGTTAGCTCTGTGAAAGGAACTGGGGTTGAGTGGGGTAGTTAGAAATGTGGCTTTCCTGCTCTTCGCATACCCCTGCATGAAATTTTTGCAACAAACATGGACTCCTGGTATTTTGAAAGTTTTTAAGTACGGTTTTTCATTTCAAGACAATAAAGAGGCGTAAACAATATAAATTCAAACTGCCATGACTTATGTGTTACGTTTCCCGGAATATGTTGTAGCCTCCATTTTTGTGGGGGTCAGCTTCACCTCCAGGGGCACTTGTGAGGCATCAGGGTCCAGAGAAGCCCAGGAAGTGGTCTCCTTTCCACACAGGGCTGTTTCATCTTGGAGTGCCTGGTTTTCATCCAGCAATATGATTTACTCTCTCAGCCTCTCCCTGGGACACGATATGTGGAAAGAATCAGAGGAGAGAAATCGTTTCAGCATTATGGTTGCAAAGGTGAGGTAGTTCTTTGGATTTTAGCCCGTTTTTTGCCAGGGAGTTCAGAGGACCTAAGGGAAAAGACATTACTTATTAAACTCAGTATAGGGGCGCCTGGGTGGCGCAATCGGTTAAGCGTCCGACTTCAGCCAGGTCACGATCTCGCGCTCCGTGAGTTCGAGCCCCGCGTCAGGCTCTGGGCTGATGGCTCAGAGCCTGGAGCCTGTTTCCGATTCTGTGTCTCCCTCTCTCTCTGCCCCTCCCCCGTTCATGCTCTGTCTCTCTCTGTCCCCAAAATAAATAAACGTTGAAAAAAAAAAAATTTTTAAACTCAGTATAAAACACGAATTCTGGGAAATAACCAAAGGGTGTCCGTAACAAAAACTTCTGGAAAAATAGCTCTGCCAATTCAGAAAATGTTAATGGCTTCATAAGTAGTGGAAGAGATCTGTAGACAGGTTAAATTGCCAGGGCCAGAAAGGATTGTTTGAGACTTTGGGGAAGATTATGAAATGATTGTTACCCTAAGGTTTAAAAATTTATTTTTTATTTTTTTTTAAGTAGGCTTCATGCCCAGCCTGGAGCTCAATGTGGGGTTTGAACTCACAACCCTGAGATCAAGATCTCAGCTGAGAATTGGACACTCAACCAACTGAGCCACCCAGGCGCCCTGAAATGCTCATTTCTATTAAAGTGTTAATCACTCTTATGGCTTGAAACATGAATATCTTAGGCAACAAAGGGTTACGTGTTGGGTGGGCATACTGCAAATTAGATCCTGTAAGTGGGGCATTGCCTTAGAGTAGGAGGCGTTGCAATCTTTTGGATTTTTTCTCTAATCATTTTGCCCTCTAAATTATAAACGTTGTAAAGTGATAGGAAATTATCAGTAAGGATTATTACCTACTTTTCTCTTACCAGGTTAATTAGAAACCTACCTGCCTTTTATTGGAATATACTCAAATTACAAAATACATGTTGTAAGACAGATCTAAAAATATATTAATTCCTACTCAGACATTAGTGAAGGGGAAAATTCCTTTAAAGTTTTAATAAAAATGTTGGAAGAAGGTTATGACCCACTTCAAAACTTTCAGAACTGGTTTCTATTATTACATTATAGTCTGAACTATCTAAAATACTATCTTCCAGAGACTTCCTTCCTGATTCTCGAACCCATGCTCTCTGATATGTGCATGTTAGTTACAACTACAAAACTGTAAACTGAGCATTTTGTGACATCTTTGGGGGAAGGTGGGTGCTGACCTGACATGCTTTATTACCTTCCACTGACTTTCAGAAAGGCGTGAGGATTTTTATTTCAGAACCATATGTGGTAGCTAGCCTCCAAGATGGTCCCCAAAGATCCCTGCCTCCTGGTATTCCCACCCTTGTATTTTCCTCCCACAGTGTACCAGAAATGGGCCAACAGGACACAGCTGAAGTGATTGTGTGTCACTTCCCAGATTACGCTACAAAAGACCATGGCTATCTTGGGCTTTCTCTCTTGGAATACGTGGAGGGAAGCCCTGTCATGAGCAGCCCTGTGGCCCCCATGCCAAGGAACTGAATGAAACCTGCAAACAACTGCGTGAGTGAGCTTGGAAATGGATCCGCCAGCCCAAGGCAAGTCCAGAGACTGCAGCCCCAGCCGACAACTGAGAGATCCTGAGCCGGAAACACGCAGCTAAGCCACTCCCAGATTCCTGACCCTCAGAAATCGTGAGGTAGTATTTGTTGTTTTAAGCTAAGTTTTGGGTGATTTGTTACTGATACACAATAGTTTTCCAGTGTTTGTTCTCCCCCTGAATGCAGAGTGTGAAATGCAGAAACTGCCTACAAAAAGGACTACTGCTTAGATGCCACAGAAGATAAAAGGGGGGTGGGGGCGCCTGGGTGCCTCAGTCAGTTGAGCATCAGACTCTTTGATCTCAGCTCAAGTCGTGATCCCGGGGTCATGGGATTAAGCCCTGTGTCGGGCTCCGTGCTGAGCGTAGAGCCTGCTTAAGATTCTCTCCCCCTCTGCCCCTCTCCCCAGCTTGCACTCTCTAAAATTAAAAAAAAAAAAAAAAAAAAAAAAAAGATTTTTAAAAAAGAAGATAAAGGGGAATCTTCCAGAGTTCCACTAATGTTGTGCCTGTCTTGTCCAAGACCTGATGTCTTCAGAACCTTTCAGTCAGTCGTCAATTTCTTTACATTTGAAATCTTTAACCAAAGTAAGGTTTAAGTAGTCTTCACCCAGCAGACCACTCTGGAACTTCCTGCATCCTCCAGAGGCCAGAGATTCAGGGTCAAATCCTAGAGGGTAGCCTCTGCTGCAGAGGTAGTGGCCTCACATCCACATCCCCACCCTTCTCTCCCCACTTCAGGCAACCTGGTTTGACAAGTTCTTAGTACCCATGGGATTCCTAGGGGAACACGGGGCTAATACTGTTGACCACTGACCCCCACCCCCACCCCTAGCTAGCATTTAATACAGGGCAAT